GGATATTGCCTGAGGAACGTGATGGAGAAATTCTAATTTAGTAAGGTGGAAAGAAAAAGTTTGCAACTACAGATGAAAGACAAGCAGCTGGCAGAGTGATTCTGATCAAGAACTTCTTTAAAGTAAAGATTTGGTTTCATGGAAAAAGACCCGTTACCATGCAAATAGGTAAACACCCTTCTTAGCTGATGTACCAGAAAAAATTCATGGGACTTGGCCTGTCCTTGCATTTTCTACTGAAGGACTAATGTACAATTTAATTGATGATTTATCTTTTGCAGATAGGTGTTGTTGTTGTTGAGGGCTGTCAAGCTGGCTCTGACCCATAGTGACCCTGTATAAAGTTTCCAAGGAGCATCTGGTGAGCTTGAACCACCGACCTTGCGGTTCAAACCAACTTTGCAGTCCAATACATTAACCCACAGCGCCACATCAGGACTCCATTTGTAGCTAGGTAAGCGAGTCTAACTATGGCGCGTGATTCAACCTGGGAATTATATTTTCATCTGTCACACATGCAACTCCCATCCTTGCATGGGGCTCTTATTCTCCACCTGTTCCTCAAACAGTGGCCCCTGGAATTTCCCCCTGTGCACTTCCTCCTGCACCTACCCCAGACAGGATGTGGGAAGGGAGGGCTCTCCTTTAGAAGGGGAGCTAGTGGGTGAAAGAAGAACAGAGCCTCCTACCCCAGGGCCCCTTGAGCCAAATTGCAGGGGTTTCCTCTTGGCCCCGGATGTGGGACAGAAGGGACAGGGGGCTGGGAGACATTAACCAAGACAGGAAGTCCCACATCAGATGCTTTAAAAGAGGAGGCTGTGCTTGGCAGAGCTCAGGGCTTGGTGTCTCAGATTTGGTGTGCTGAGTACACAGACAGAGGTAAGTGACAGGAACCCAGAACTCAACTCCAATGCAGGGGGTCAGGGACAAAGCTGGACATTCCACTCTAGGACCCAACAGGGACCCTGAGGTCCAGACCCCACACCCTCTGAGGGTCGTCTGAGTCTTCCCAGGGTGGGAAGGGGCTTCTGCAATGGTGGGTCTCTGACTCTCTCCCCTATACACCCCTCCCCCCTGCAGCTCCTACAGGATGAATGTTGTCTGCTTTTACCTCCTCCCCGTTCTGGGGCTACTGGTGTCTGGTGTGTCCTTGTGTCCCGTGGATGAAGCCATCAATCAGAAGATCCAGAAAGACTCCAGCTCCCTAAGTGAGGACCTGTCACCCCTTTTGGTGATGGCCCTGGAGGTCTTTCCGGTCACTGACACAGACCTGACCTCAACTCTAGCCAAATCCCAATCTGAACCCAACCTCAAACCCAACCCTAACCAAATCCCAACTTCAAACCCAACCCTAACTAAATCCCAGCCTCAAACCCAACCAAACCACACCTCAAATCCATTCCTAACCAAATGCCAACCTCAAATCCAACCCTAAACAAATCCCAATTTACAACCCAACCCTAACTAAATCTGAACCTCAAACCAACACTAACCAAATCCCAACCTCAAATCCAACCCTAACCAACCCCAATCTCAAATCCAACCCTAGCAAAATCCCTTCAGACCCAACCCAAATATAACGTTAATTAACACCATTCCCGGTCCCGATCTCAAACCCAGCCAATCCCACCTACAATGCCAACTCTAATTTACACGCCAACTCCAAACTCAAACCCAGCCAAAAGCAGCTAATCAAAAGTAGTTGTTGAATCAGTTTCAACACACAATGACCCCGTGTGGTTCAAAGTAGAACTGTGCTCCATAGCGTTTTGTTGTTGTTGTTTGGTGTCATCGAGTCGGGGCTGACTCATGGCGACCTTATGCACAGCAGAACGCAACACTGGTTTACTAGGGGGGATTTTCCACTAGTAAGCTACCAGCTGTTCTTTTGTGGCAAGTCTGGGTATACTTGAACCTGCAAACTTTCAGTTAGCAGCTGAACGTGTTAACATGTCCACCACTTGCTGTTGTAAACTCAACCTAGTCCTTTCTGTAACCTTAGCCCCAAAGCAAACCCCAACTCTTACCCAAATCCAACCCCAACTATCATCTTAAACCTCCCCATTCTCTCAAGTCAAGTGAAGACAGAGGATCACCAAGGTGGTGAGCTCCCTAACACTTGGACCTTCCCCAGAGGACTTTTCCTGACCTCCAACCTAGCTCCAAACCACCAGGATAGGTCAGCATGAGACAGGGAAGGGCACCGTGTTCTCAAAGTCCCTTCCTCTCTCCCTCCTACAGTTCGTGAGACTATGAGAGGCCTTCACCTGGATTGCAGAAGTGTCACCTCCAGGGGAGACCTGGCCAGCTGCCCTGCAGGTGAGTGCAGAATGCTTGTGCCCAGGCCATCAGCCCACCCCATCCACTGCCAAAGCTCTTGGCACACTCCTCTTTCCCCTGTCCAGGCTGGGCGAGTATCTCACTAGTACCTAGGAGCCCCAGCCTCTGCTTCCCACGGGTCCTTGTATCTGAGTTCCCAGGCTTCTCCCCCAAGCCGAGCCCTGGAATCCCACCTGTGTCCTTAGGGCACTTGAGTTCAAGCACCCTGCCGCCAGCCTCTCTGAGCCCATGCATCAGACCCCTATTCCCTGGCATCAGAGTTTCCAGCCATGAGGACCCTGATCCCCAACACCCATTAACCTCCTAGCTCTAGGGTCAACACCCCCCACCGCATTCCCATCCTCAGGGTTCGCCGTCACTAGCTGCACGTGTGGCTCTGCCTGTGGTTCCTGGGACATTCGTGCTGAGACCACCTGCCACTGCCAATGCTCGGGTATGGACTGGACCGGAGCACGCTGCTGCCGCCGCTGCCTTGAGAGCTTACCTGCGCAATGCATGCTGGGTGCAGGGCAGGGCCTCAGGGCAATGCAGGAGGGGCTAGGCCTGGGAAGGGGGAGGTGGAAATAAACTGAGACCTGGAGGAGCGAGAGTGGGACTGCTTGGTTTCTTCTGTGCGCCTGAGGGGAGGAGACACGGAGTCACAGGGTGTCATGTGGTATCATGGGGAAAATGCAGGAGGGTGGGCAGTGTGAGGCACAACTTTCTACAGCCCCAGCTCCCTGTCTACCACCCTGTTTCTCACTCCTTCCTCTGAGAATGGGCACCAATTTTCCATGAACCACCCAGGGCTCATGTCATATTCAGGACGGAAGTAGATCTCACTTTGATGCCACCTGGATTCACAGGTCACCTGGGAGGTGTTGGGTCAAGAAACCTAAGCATTTACCATCTCAGCATCCTGTGCCATGAAACTTTATCTAGACTTTATGTTAGTTCAGACAGGGATCCCTCCTTATAATTTGGGGCCTCAAGCCCCAACATCCTTAGGATGGGGATGAGCCCCTGAATCATCTTCCCACACATAGCTCTGCACCTCTACCCCTCAACCGCCATCCACCAGAGACCCAAGGAGCAGTGGGAAATGCCCACAATGTCTCCTGCCTCCCTAGAGATACAAATCCAGGTGATTCAGGTCAGAGACACAGACACTGGGTTCAGAATCCCTTAGTACCTGGATTTGAAAGGGATCCCACACTGAAAATCTAATAGTTTGAAAACTAAGGTACACCTGAACCAACGCATGATATTTTCAGTAGCTTCATATGCATGTGAAAGTTGGACAGTGAATAAGGAAGACCATATAAGAATTGAAGCCTTTGAGTTATGGTGTTGTAGAAGCATATGAAAAGTACCATGACCTTTCAGAAGAACAAACAAATTGGTGTTGGAAGAAGTACAGGAAGAGTGCTCTTTAGAAGCCTGGATGGTGAGACTTTATCTCTCATACTTCAGACATCCTATCAGGAGGGACCAGTCCCTGGAGAAGGACATCCTGTTCGGTAAAATGAAGGGTCAGCCAAAAAACAGAAGACGACCCCCCCCCCCCTCGCAAATGAGATGGATGGGCACAGTGGCAACCACAGTGGGCTCAAGGCTAGCAATGATTGTCAGGATGACGCAGGACTGGGCAGTGTTTGATTCTGTTGTACATATGGTCATGTTAGACCTGAGAATCAGAGTGGGAGATTGGAGAGACCACACCAGAGACACACAGTAGGAAAGGAAGAGTCTTTACTGCTGATCAGCGTCTGCAAACAGGCTAAAGCAAGCTCTCTAAAGTTTGCAACCCAGAGCTGTCCATTGGGGCGGCTTAAAAGGCTAAAACTTCAGGGGAGGGGGAGCAAGCCGGGTACAGAAGCAAAAAGCAAAAAGCAAAGTTCTTCTTTTGGAATGAAGGAACACACCATGCCTCTTTAATCTGGCACCTGGTGTTTGTTTTCCAAGGCTGTCTGGGAATATTCTGGGAAATGACACTCAAGGTTTATCTACATCTTGTTACATTCGATTTAAGCACGCAACTACAATTGGATATTGTTTGGGACATATAACTTTTGAAACTTGTCAGGGTTTTTTGTTTTTTTTTTGTTATTTGAAACTTCTCAGGATATTTGGGGCAGGGGCAGACCTGGGGCGAGCTTTCTGGGGTACATTCTATTTTTGAGGTCTTATCAGTCACTATCAGCCAAAACAGACTCAAGAGGGGATTGTAATCATTGCAATGAAACTAAATACCATACGATGAATGTAAAGCCAATGTTCTCCCTTGTAAACGATCATTCAATTCACAATAAAAATTTCAAAAACTGAGATTAGCAGAGAAAAAAAAACAACCCAACTCAATGGGACTGTAGAGTGGGTGATGGGGTGGGCCCCTGTTCAGGTTGTGTTGGACCCAATTCTGGTGGTCACTCATGCCCTATGATGGTCCAGGTGCCTGTGTGATCCTGGAGGCCAGGAAGAGTGATTTTGCCCACTCGCGGTACCTGTGGCGCCCACCCAGACATCAACCAGAAATTCCCTTACCAGGTTCTCCGTCCCGACCTCATTGCAGCCCACAAGATGCTATGAGTTACAAGAATACTCAGGACCACAGAGAGTGGGCCAAGGTCTTACTGCCTGTCCAACCCCACCCCCCCAGCTTAGTGATGTAGGTATATTGCAGACAAAGGGAGGAAAAGACCACAGCAACACTTTTCCCTGTTTGTACCTCCTCCCCTTTTCTCCTTGCATAGGAATCTGATCAAAAGCTTAGATTACTTGTAAAATGTGTCTGTGCAAGGCCAGCTCCTCACAATGAATCAGGAGAAGGTCAGAAGGCCCTGATACCAGCTCTGGCTATTGAAACTAGCACCTACTAGAACATGAAGAATGAAAGTACCCACTAAGGGTGGAAACAACGCACAAGAAACCTCAGCATTTACCATCTCAGCATCCTGATTTGTCCCCACAATCTTGTCTTATGACAGATTGCCATAATTTTAATGAATGATGACTCTTTCACCTTGTCCCCTAAAGCCTTTCTGAAGCCCTATAAAACATCCTTAATTCTTCCTTAAGGAGACAACTGGTGACATAGATTCCCCTGCATAATGATGTTATTCATTGGTCCTGTTGTGAAGAATTTTGTTTTCTTTACATTTAGGTGCAATCCATACGGAAGACTGTAGTCTAAGATCTTATCAGTAAGCGTTTCAACTTCTTTTCACTTTCGGCAAGCAAGGTTGTATCATCTACAGATTGCAGGTTGTTCATGAGTCTTCCTCCAATCCTGATGCCACGGTCTTCTTCTTATAATTCAGTTGTTTAGATTATTTTTTTAGCATACAGATTGAATAAATACGGTGAAAGATACAACCCTTAAGTACAATTTTCCTGGCTTTAAGCCATTCAGTATTCCCTTGTTCTCTTCCAATGAAAACCTCATGGTCTATGTACAGCTTCGTTATGTGTTTTAAGTGCTCTGGACTACCCATTCCTTGAAATATTATCCATAGTTTCTTATTTGCCACACAGATGAATACCTTTGAATAGTCAATAAAGCACAATAAACATCTTTCTGGTATTCTCTGCTTTCAGCCAAGATCCATCTAATGCCACCAGTGATACCCTTAGTTCATTGTCCTCTTCTAAATCAGGCTTGAATTTTGGGCAACTCTCAGCCAATGTACTGTTGCAGCTGTTTTTAAAGTTTTTATTGTGAATGGAATGATAGTTTACATGGGAGAACATCAGCTTTACACTCATCATTTCATTGCAATGATTACAATCTCCTCTGTGCATCACCATTCAATAGTATTAGCTTCTATTCCCTCAGGGTTGTTTTTTTTTGAGGGAGGGATATTTACACAAAAACACTCAAGAATATGTCATCATTTAAACAACCAAAGGGCACATTCTGAAAGCCTGCCTCCTGGCTGTCAGCACACAGCTTTTCTCTTTCCATGAGTCTAGAGTCCTCAGCTGCTCTCTTCCTCTGTGTCCTCATCTCTGCTTCCATCTCTGGTATTGTGCAACTGTTTTTGAATTATCTTCAGCAAATTTGCATGTGATATTAAGATATTGTTCAATGATTTCTCCATTCTGTTGGGTCACCTTTCTTTGAATGGGCACATATAGGATATCTTCCAACTGGTTGACCAGGTAGCTGTTTCCCAAATTTCTAAACATAGACAAGTGAGGGCCTCCAGTGCAGTGTCTGTTTGTTGAAATATTTCCAATTGTGTTACTCGTTTCTTCACATTGACTTCAGTGCAGCTTGGATTTCTTCCTTTAGTATTGTTGGATCTTGATAATACGCTACCTCTTGAAAATGTATCTTTACAGCAAGAATCATTCCCACCCCCTCCACACACAGAGTAGACAGGGATGGGCAACTTGGATATTGGCTACCCAAAATGGGGGACGGGGGGCTACAAAGGCAAGAAGTGACTGGCTTACAAGCTTTCAA